TTCCCCATCCTCATATATAAATATATTTGCATATGTACATGTCTTTATCTAGACCTCTATAAATGCCCTTTGCCTCACAGCTCTTTTCTCTATTTCCCTTGACTTTCCTCCTGTCTCACTATCATGCTAAGTCCCCACCAGGATTTCAGCAATTCCTCTTTGTTAACCAACTTCACTTCTGATGGAGAACATAACATTGGAAAATGAACAATAGAACTCAAATGAGAAAAAAGATAAGCTAAAATAAAAACCGCTAGATAAATAAGGGAATATGGTCTAAATCCATCACCTATTTATAATACAGAACCAGGAAGATGGTAATACTTCATTTAAGTGATCTCCATTTTGCAACAGAAGTAATTAACATCTGGGGCACTTACCTGTTACAAAGATTACTGTCAGAATGTTTAAGTGGCTGATAAGAATCTGGTGTGTTGACTACACTGCCCAGAGATTTGTGTAAAATAACACCAGGCTTCGTAAGAAAATCCGCAGTGTCAGGAAATTCTATGGGTGATCTATTAGTTAGAGAACTGGGAGACACTGGTCCATGGCTGGGAGAATTCACAGGACTCAAACTGGATAAGGCACCTTTACCAAATGAAAAAGAAGATAAATTAATGAATAACTACATCTGCATACATATTTATATACTGTGTCTGTGTACTTATAAAAACAATCTTCCTCCTTTAGAAAAATCACTGAACATCAAACAGCATACAATATATACAAAACTCATTTTATGCCTACATAGTGTATCTATCTATATTTCTAAATCTATTTGTATATTCTACACATATATCTTTGAAATCATAGTTAATATATCTTTGAAATCATAGTTACTGAAACTAAAAATACAATGCCATTTACAATAAAAATGAAGTCAACTATCAGGGGAAAAAGAAATCGGAGGACTCACAGTTAAATGATACACTAAATCTCTGTTGGGACTAACCTTAAAGACAGTGACGTAATAGAACAGACTATAGACCATAGTTGTCATTATCAATGGCTGGCCAGTAAACACTCTTTGGCAGGATGGGACATACTAGGCAAGGATTCAGAGTATGATTAAAATGGACATGCCGCTTTAGTATTTATATTTGGTACAAATTTTTCTTGCCTATGCTGGTATCTCACTTTTACATTTTGTGCCCACTTCATCTTGATTGTGCAGTGAGCAAAGCATCTTTACAACAAATTTTATCTCCAAATTCTTAATAGCAGTAAGCAACCTGAGCACAGCTGTTAACACAATTGGCATGTCCCATTCAGCAATACATATCACTCGATTTCGGCGCATTCATTGGTTTCACAGCTACTTAGGAGCCCCCTGTGTGCTACAGAATGTGGAGGAAAGGTCTGACTCAGAGCGAGGGACTGGATGGTCAGTTTCTTAGGTGGCCAGGGACACTGTCTTTGTGTCCGTTGCTCACAAGTCAGACTGGCCACATCTTTCCGCCACAAAGTGGCTGGTGGGTTCAAACCATTGACATAGTCGTCAATTACTTGGACCACTGGGCCACCAGAGCTGCTCCTGCAGAGTGCAGTGGCTCAGTGCTAAAACACATGGGAAAGGAAGTTCTTTAGGAAAACACAGAATGGGTCTTTACACATGCTGATTTACCCCAGAAACCTCTGTTGCATGACTTGAACGAACCAAGGCAGTATGGATAGAGAAAGAAAAATTTAAACTTCATTAAACAATAAAGATTCAGGTAAAATGTGAGTCGGAGAGGAAAGCAAGTTTTTAAAGACCTCCAATCTTTTTAGGCACAGTTATTGATGTGTATCTTATTTAATCTTCACAACGGCCCTCTAGGTGAAGTACCTGTGAAGGGGGAAAAAAATCTCCCCAAACACGAAGTAATTTCATTGAATTCACCCCGTTAACTCTGTGGGATCACTCTTTCCAGAGCGGTCACTGCTGTTGGATCAGATTGATTTGTTTAGTAGTCCCTATAAATTCAAGAAATGTTAAGGCCGAGTCAGATCTTATAGATAATCTAAGCGGAGGTCATAGTTCAGAGGAGGAAAGGGAAGACAAGGGGAAATAACATGTTGCTTTTCAGAGCTCTTTCTCTAAATATACAAGTACATGACCTAAAACCCGAGAAACAGGCAGAACAGGATGAGGGGAATAAGGAGTAAACAACAGTAGGGCATACTTCTGTTAGAAGTCCTGGTGGTGCAATGATTAAATGCTTGACTACTAACCAAAAGGTCAGCAGTTCAAACCCACCAGCAGCTCCGTGGGAAAAAGATGGGGTATTCTGTCTCCATAAAGACTTACAGCCCTGGATGCCCTATGGAGCTATTCTACTCTTGTTTCTGGTTCGTCTATTTTCCTTAAAAAAAAACACAATTATGTAATATAACCTAGAAAAGCGTTGAGGAGAGGTCAACACAGAACAGAAGAAAACCGAGCGACCCTGAGAAATACTCTCGGCGGTATAGCTTCATTCCTGTCACCTTAAACACTCACTGTGGAATCTAATGCTCATCCCGAACAGTTACGGCCGGAATGTCCATCACTGCAGCTACAACGAAATGTTGCAAAGGCCAATACTCCTCGAACGTCTCCCTTCCCATTAATGACATCATTAGCTTTGATAAATGACATCATTTTCTTGCCTCTCTTTAAAATGATAATAGCTATGTAATGTGCATCCTTTAGCAATGAACAGCATTAAAACAAAAAGTTCCAGTTCATAAAAGGATGGGCTTACTCAAGAAACTATGTACACGAATGCCTCTGTGCTCAGTGGATGGCTGCAGTCAAGTTCTCTCAGCAATACTCTTTCTTAGTGTTCTTGTTGGCAGTTCTCACTCATACTGACCCCATGAACAAGAGGATGAAATACTACCTCATCTTACACCATCCTCTCAATTGTTGTTTTCAGCCTACTGTTGCAGCCACGATGTCAAGCCAGCTCATTGAGGGCTTTCCTCCTTTTCGATGACCCACCATTTTGCCAAGCACGACATCCTTCTCCAGGAACATGATTCCTCCCGGGATCATGTACGTGAGATGAAATCTCACCATCCTCAACGTCTCATAGGGCATGCTAGCCGTGCTTCTTCCAATACAGATCTGTTCCTTCTTCCAGCAGTCCACGGCACACTTCCCTTCTTTGTCAGTACCGCACTGTTCAGGCATCAATTCATGCTCAGATCTTTTTGTTCCTAAACTAATGACTATTCTGCAAAGGAAACGCCTGTGTGCATCTCCCCCTGTAGTGGGTGCATGAATCTGGATCTATCACTATTCTTATTAGTGAAATTCAATTAATTTTGAATTTCTATTGTCTAACAAAATGCATCGTACATAGTATGTGCTCTAAAATTGTTTATTGAATGAGTAAGCAAATGGTAAACTAATCGAAACCCAAACCCAGTTGGAATCTAGTCAATTTCAGCTCACAGAAACTCTCCAGGATACAATAGACCTCCTTCATCAGTTTTCCCATGCTGTAAATCTTTATGGAAATAAATGGCCACATCTTTCTCCCATGGAGTGGGAATGGTTAGTGCATTTGAACTACTAAGCTTTCAGTTAGCAGCCATGTGTGCAATCAGGGCTCATGGTCAAGTCATAGCACCAGCCCAAATTGTTTAGAAATGTTGACTTACAATACTTAAAAGATTATTAAAGTTATCTGTAAATATGTGGTTTTATAAATGACTACTGTTGCGGTACAATGAATTATTTGGTATGGCTCTTCTAGCCAAAGTTTTTGTAACTCCCACCAAAGACGAGGTGGGGGTATGCAAACAAGGTATATGGAGCTTGAAGTGATGCTAGTTAGTTTCTCGTATCCCATCCCACTGGGTACAAAATGAGCCATCTCAGCAGTAAGAAGAGGGGGGGTCTCACTGTCATGAAGAAATGAGAGCCATGAGTGGAGCACATCCTCTGGGCCCTGAGATCCCTGCACAGTGACCCTCCTCGATCCAGGATAGAGCTGTGAAGCCAGAGGAGCACAAGAAGATAAATGGTACCAGAACAAAGCAAGAAGTAGAGCACAGGACGGGGGGTGGGGGGTGGGGGGCTACTTCTCAGCCCAGGAGGGAGTAAAGCCTTCCGGTAGGAAGCTTGCTTGAGGAGCAGGGTGCGTCCAGGCACTCCATCAGGGGTGGCTAGGTTTATCTTTAGGCCAAGGCTTCTGGTAAAATCCTCTTAGGGCATTTACCAACAATGCTACAAGCTTTGTTGCAATGCTCAAGCAGGGCAGAGGTTAAGGGGCCGGATCGCGGAGAGATCCAAGCCCAGGGAAAGGCGTGCCTGTGGGCATGGCTGAAAGGGATGCTCCCAGCTAGAACTGTATCCTGAGCATTTCCGATCTTGAATTGTGTGGCCTGTTAACATCCCCAAGAACTCCGTCATCATGAGTATTGTTTGTGATTTCTGTGTGGCTCCTGCAGTGCATTTTGAACCCAGCAGAGAGAGAGTACCTTATAAAGGATGATTAGTATCAGAACTGGTAAAGAAAGTGGGAGGGTGGAGGCATGTCTGGACTCTGCATCATAGAACTGGCTCTGGGCAAAAACGTTGATCTCTCCCTCCCACTTGTAAAGTTGGAAGAACTCAGACTCCACCCCCGTGCCATTGTTAGCACTGTACACTGTGAGGTCTCACAGACTTAAGTGATGTGGGATGGTTTCTTACCAGCTCTTCTCAGACTTAGATGGTGAGTGAACGAGACAGAAGAAGACCTCTGCTTCGGGCTGGTCAGTAGATTTGAACTAAGGGGTCCATTTAGATAGTATCCTTGACTGAAAGAGAAAAATCACAAGTTAAAATGTTTAAAACCCGTGGGAAATGTCCACGTCTTTTATTCACGATCTTCCATTCATGGAGCAAACATCTGCTTCTATACTCTGGGTTTGGAATGGTTATCTAGAGCTCTACAATCCGTTTCTAGAATAAACCATGTAGTAAATGCTTTTTGGCTTCGCAGACCTTAAGGTCTCTGTTACTACGACTATTCAACTCTGCCACAGCAGCACAAAAGCAGCCACTGATGACAGCAAAGTGAATGTGCTTCAATCAAATGTCATTTACGAAAACAAGCTGTAGAAGACAAGCTAGCAGACTCAGACCTAAAGCAGATTATCAGCAACACCTAGGGGTTCTGACCCCGCTCCCACGGTTTCGGATTCAGTGTTCTGGGGAAGGGCCCAAGATTTTTCATTTCTAACTAGTTCTGAGATGCTGCTGCTGCTGGCCCAGGGATCTCACTTTGAACCACAGCTCAGATACAGTTTTTTGTTGCTCTTTACTGTTCCCCCTCTTCAAGATTTTAACTACCCCTTAAGCCAGACATAGTCTATAACTGAGATACTTTAGTGTAAGTTTTAGGGCTCTTATGAAGAAATTATACACAGACAAGCAATTATAATTCACCAAAACCAAAACCACACCCATTGCAGTTGAGTTGATTTTGACTCACAGCTACCTTATAGGACAGAGTATAGAGTTTAATGTATCTATTACTAATTAAATGATATGTGTGGTAGTTACCTAATCTGGTGTCAATTTGAGGATTAAGAGCATAGGGGTAGAGGCTGGCCTGTCAATCTGGAGATAGCCAATGAGACCCCTGTGTGGGCATTGCCTTCTGAGAATTCTGGGAAATCTGGTATTTGCTCCTTAGAGGTGGGAGACACCTCTCTCTCTCTCCGCTCACATCCTGCGAGACATCCCTGAGGGGAAGCCCCATGGACCTACCCCGATGCAGCCCTGGGAACTGAAGAAGGCATGTAGAGACCCCTGCCAGCACTGAGATGCTTACACCACCACCGGTGCCAAAGATTTTCTACCCACTGGCCTGTGATCGTCCTGCATTTGGCATCACTGCATGTATTCCGTGAGTCTGAAGTGGCCTTTATAGATTGGTATCAGACATATGGGCTAATATAGGACTTATGGGCTTGGACTGGACTGGGTTGGGATGCCTTCTTAATATACCATTGCCCTTTATATAAAACTCTCTTATACACATGAGTTTCTATGGATTTTTAGCCTACCCAAACTAACACAATATGATACAGTGTGACAGGCACCCCGGTGGAATAATGGTTACGAGTTGGGCTGCGATCCACAGGGTCTGAAGTGAGAAACCACCAGTGGCTCTGTGGCAGTAAGACAGGGCTTTCTACTCCTGTGAACAGTTACAGTCTCAGAAACGCACAGGAGATGGTTCCACCCTAACCTACAGGGCTGCTGAGTGGGCATCGACTTGCTGGCAGTGAGACTACAGGACGAAAGTTTGGGGCCCAATGTCAACCTAAATGCTAGCTACCTTCCTTTCCTTAGATATTTACCGATCTCTTTTCTTCTAGTAGAATTCATTTCTTATCTGAGTACTTGGGCATAAGCTCAAGGATAAGTCTAGATTCGCTCTCTAGTTTAGTTCAACTTTTATTTTATTGAGACTTACTTCCCAGTGAGAATCTCTCCAACTCTTTCCTTCTCTCTTAGATATTTCCACAAGCAAGTGTGTTTTTCTGTGACTTGAGTGAGAGGTCTCTGTTACTAACACATATTATATGAGGGGCTTCCAAAAGCTCAGGGGCAAATGAGAGGGAAAATGACTGGCCTTTTTCTTCAAACCTTTTGAAGAAAAACCCCTCCTATAGTAATTTTACTGCCTAATAGGATACAAAGATACAGGCAAGCTTTCTAGGTACATCAACTTTGTGAGCAGCCACTAGTCTAGAGGATGGTAACCGTGTGCTAGGCAAAAAGGGCAGAGAAATAGTAAGAGAGAGGAAAACACGTAGGGAAGTAAGAAATATGGTTTCAGGCGCAGGTTCAGGGAGTGAAAGGTGCAGTATTGGGGCATCATTGAAATCGTCATCTAGGCCAGTCACAAAAGCATAATTAGAAAATCTGTGATCAGATTCCAAAGCTGAGTTTGAATCAAGATTCAAAAAGCTAAGGAATACAATCTCAGTCCTCAGATCTTATTTCTGAAGTATTCTAATAAAGTCAAGTGAATGCCTCGTGACCCCAACATTATAAGTCTATTGATTTTGGGCTGTCAGAGCCTAAAGGTCTGCTGTTCAGCGGGCTCTGACCCGACCTGAACAAAGCACCGCCATCCACTAAAGACCTGAGCGGGGCACTGAATGCGGTTGCAAGGGTCCAATGTCATTATTCATATCTCAGTTTTACAATTCAGCTCCTCTGTCATAGGAGGAACATTTCAAGTGAGCAATAACCACAGGTGGCTGCTGTCCACATTTGGCAGTGCAGATAGAAAATTTTTCCATCAATTTCTACTGCACGGTACTGTCCTGAGACTTAAAAAAGATATTGGTTATTAGTACTTCAATCATTTCCCAATTGCCTTGTCTATGCCTGAAGTACCCGTGGAAGTCTATCACGAGAATGCCCCAATTATTCTCCAAGTCTCTACATCTTTTAAAAGGTACACAAGTTTGTCTTAAGGAGAGTGATGTGTTGATATCTGCTACGGATGACAAAAAGCTGCCTCCATTTACCTGTACGTGCACTTTTCAGAGTGAACAATTAGTTCTTGTCTCTGGACCATGTTTCCTTTCAAATATCAACTGCCTAAGTTAGGCAACAGGATAAAAATGGCCTAATTCAGTGTAGCAAGTTTTCTTTACCTCAGAAACATTATAATTTATCCGTTTGTTAAATTAAAAATCATTTTCATAATATCTTAATAAATTAACAAGTCTCAAGCCAGGGCGGTCACTAGGTTGGTGCCATACCCCTATCTCCATAGTCACCTTCTCAAACCAGAACATACAGAATCCTTGGTACTATTCATTATCAACTTTAGGCATAGAACAATACATGGTAAATATAGTTATATGTTGCTTAAATTTAAAATTTCTAAAACTATATGAATACTAACCAGAGAACTGTTTAGTGAATATTTTTCAACATTGCATTGCAACTTATTAGTAACTGAGTCAAAGTCTTTTTGGATTTTTCCTCCCCCCTTTCACTTTATTAATACTTCATTCCCAAAATGATTATTGGTATAGGTTAACAAAATACTGACTATCACAATATTATAGCTAATATACCAAAATTTTTTGACAATAAAAAGTGCATCAGCAACAAAAATCAGAGCACGTGCTTGTGGTATGTACAAACAAAGCCATGTGATTTGAAGCATCAGTGTAACTCGGTAACAATGCCAGTTCTAGACAGAATACATTAGAAAGCTCAACGAGTAAGTTAATATGGAGTTTTAGCCTTGTATTTTGCTACATATAAGCTGGACTTACAAAAAAATTTTATGGCAAAAATATTATTTGCCATGATAACTAACTACAGGGATGTTTTTATTAACATAATAAACCTCTAATGAAACATTGCACAAAAATGTTATAGACTGTCATTGTGGTGTAGCCCCTCAGACAATGTTACCCAGTGTCTATACCTTCTATGTCCCTAAAGTGATGCCGCTGTCTCAAGATGATATTTCCCATGATTAGGAAATATACCTTAGTTCCTGATGCATTCTCTTCTATTCTTAAAAAAAATGGAATAAAACAGAAACCAACTATCATGTTTAGATTCTGTACAAATTTGGTACTAACCCTCATTTTCCTATACTGTACTCTTCATACTTCAATCCATCCCTGCTTTATTTTTAATTTTATTCAATTTTATTTTAAAATAAGAGTTCTTCTACTTGAATGCATTATAGAAGATTCAAATTAATAATCCAGTCTGGAAAACTATAATTATCTGGTCAGGATTTCACGTATAAATGTTAATATAAACTTTAAGAGGTATATAGATAGCTATTATCCAAGTCTGCCATCTACTGTTTCAAATGTGAAACTACTACTGCTCTACGGAAACAAAGTACAACACAGACTCAGAGATTGTATTGAAGTGAAATTCACACTAATAGCAATTTGATTAACATTACTAGATCATTGACAGAACAGAAACTTATACCCCTCAAAAAGATCGCTATCTTCCCTAACTTTCAGAGAAGAAAATATTGAATCCTTTGTTCGTAAGTTATTTACACTTAGAAGATCTGAGCGTCTACACTCCCCACCCTTACTTGTCTGTAGATACCGGTGCACATCCTCCAGAACACATTCTCACATGTATGTGGCCTCCTACTCCCTTTTCAGAAAAACTACTCAGTGCTCCCCTGGTCAAAAATTTGCATACACTAGACCATAATCAAGGTTAAAGTGTAGACATCTGCTTCCTCAGTCCCTTGGATCATTACAAGAAACAATGGTGGCATAGTGGATTACACATTGGGCTGCTAATCACAAGGTCAGCAGTTCGAAACCACAAGCTACTCTGTGGGAGAAAGAAGAGGCTTTCTGCTCCCATAGGGATTTATACCCTCTGAAACCCACAAGGGTAGTTCTACTCTTGTTGTATAAAATCACTATAAGCCAGAAATTGCAGCACAGCACCAAGGAAACACATAGCATTCTTCTAGTTCTTTAATGCTTCCTCCCCCCACTATTATGACCCCAGTTCTACCTCACAAATCCTGCTAGACTGGAATATGTACATTAGTACAGATAAGTGCTTTCAATACACAGAATCCAAGACAGATAAGCCGCTCAGAAACAGTATGGGAGTACCGTTAGCATGAGGGTACTGGGAGGGGTGGTGGTGGAAGGAAGAGGGGAGAAAGGGGGAACTGATAATAATGATGTATACATACATATAATTTATTAAGGGTTCATGAAGGTCGGAGGGTGGGGGAATGAAAAAGGAGAAGCTGATATCAAATGGCTTAAGTAGAAAG